GGGAGTCCGTCAGTCCCTGGAAGAGAAGCACATTGAGCTACTAATGCAAGTGGACAGCAATTTCAGTTATTGATGATGGTGAGAAAAACTACATTTAATGAGGAAGCATTTTAGTAAAGACAGCAAGGGAACATCAGACCATAGTGGATTTATCTCTGTCGGTAAATGAAACCTTTATTCAGCATTGTTTTCTCAGAGTGAGATGGTGAACCTGTTTTATATTTCTGCCAAACACAGCAAGACGTCAGGGAGCAGATTGTGCGGGACAGGAAGCTGTGCACAGAAACAAAATAGGACATCTGGTTCTTTTTCACAATAATAGCATTCTGTGGTAACTTTCCTTTACTTCAAGAGTCCCCGTGGTCCTTCAACAAGCCTCAAAATGCTGCATTTATATCTACAACTGCTGTAATGTTGTAGAACACTATATTTATGTTATATTCTTGGTGAATTCAGCATATTTATCTAGTTTATAAATAAATATATTTATACCTTTTAATAGCTAGTTTTACTATTTTACACCTTAACATTGGGCTGCTCTGGAAGCAGGAAAACTAATGTAGTTTCATCTATTTTAATGTGTTGAAATGACAAACTAATTGAAACCTGATGTTGGAAATGCATATTGTTTTCATTTCTAGCAGTTTATTATTGACTGTGTTGACATGCTTCACTAAGGGAAAAACAGGATATGGCCCAATCAAACAGAGCTCCTCTTTGGACCCAGCAGCAGGAGGAGCAGTAAGAAGATACTACGCCTAAACTGTTTTAAAAGTAGGACGTGTAAATGCTGATAATTGAAGCATTGTGTAAGATTATGATAGAAATGTGTTATATTAGGCACCATCATCAACATGATATAGTATTTGGGTCTACTCGTCCATTTCAAGACTCAGGTAAATATAATGCAACTAATTTCAATTATACTGGAATATCTTTTGTGACACATTTCTAACCAGTTGTAGACTGAAGCTTCAAAATAAAGATGACATAAAAATCAGTCTATAATGTCTGAAATGTCTGGCAGGAGAGACAGGAGAGCAGGAATTCACAGCTGAGTCTTTCCAAAAGTCACAATGACTAGAAGTTCTGCCTCTTGACCTCAGTATTTTTGGGCCCTGCATACGGCCCTGTTCAGGGGCGATGCTGAGAAACTATACCATGCATTTGTTACTTCAAGGCTGGACTGTTATAATTCTTTATTATCAGGGAGTCAACAAGCTGTAGTTCTGATGTAAATTAAAAAGAGAGATTATATTTCTCCTATCTTAGCTTCTCTTCTTTGGCTTCCTGTTAGATCCAGAATTAGTCCTTCTCTTCAGATATACAGCCTTACATTGCTTTTGTCAGGAATCTGATAATTCCTTATGTTCATAACACAGCATTTCACTCTCAATCTGCAGGTTTATCAGTGCTTTTCTATTTTAAAGAATTTCTAAAAGAATAGAAGGCGCCTCTCAGTGACCTCGGTGTTGGACGAAGAAGTTTGTGTTGATGCACATGTGAACTAAGACTAAGAAAAGCAAAGACATCCTTTTCTTATTATTGTGACATTTAGCTGATACAGATTTTTCTAATGGTCTTAACTGACCCTATTAAAGCAAAAGTCCAGTCTGGTTTACAATCAGACAGTGATTGAGAAATGAATTTGAATCGTCTTCTACATGCATTTCTTACTATATCCGGTTTAAACTGCATATGCAGCATAAACAAGCCAAAGGCTGCAGGGTCACAGCTAATGTTGTTACTACAAACCATCCTCTAAACAATAAAATGGCATTTGAGCCGGCATAAACTGTAAAGCTTTGGTTACATCTACTTAAACAAACCAGAGAGGAAAAGATATGAGTTTAGATACGGCAAGAAGAGAATTAAGAACAGTTCCATGTATAATCCAATGCTACATTAGCGTTCAGCGAGAGCCATTAGGTCTTTAGCATTCAATAAAAAGGTTGTGAGTTTGAATTTTTGTGCAGTCAGTGTGTGTTTGTATGAGTGCATGTTTGTCTAGTTTTCAGAACAGGATTTCTCTCTCTAAAAAAAAGATAATACTTTCAGTGGAGGCATTATGTGTCCATTTAGCTTTTAGCTTAGATTAATAGAAAGCAAGTGTGTGTGTGTGCATGTGGGTTAGTGTCTGTGTCCTGACTGGCTAAACTGACACCAGCTCCTGATGGCTTCACTGTGCAGAATAAATGTGCTGCTGTCTCATATCCTCGTTTACTTCTGTTTAGATTCAGGTTTTTCTTTAATTATAAAGGGATCTAGTTTTATAGCTGCAGTATATTTTGCCCCGCTACCTTTCATTCAAATTTTTGATTATATCCCATTGAAGAGAAAAACAAACTGAGTTCCAGTTTGTTTTTTTTTATCTGTGCAGTTATTGATACCATCTAATGTTGATGCTAAAGCATTTTGAAAGAACAAACATTTGTAAAATAATTTTTCTAATTTTCTACTCTCTAAATGTTTAAGATTTTAACTAGTGATGATGAAGTTATGGGAAAAATTGAAAAACATAATAAAAAGACAGACTTCTGATGCCTAGAATAAGCCAGACTGAGTTGGTATTGATCTAAGGTTGCTTCTCTCCCTCCTGTTTTCTTCCCTACTCCTTTGGTGCTTCAATCATTATCAAAAGAAAAACACTTAACAGCAAGAATAACAAACACAAAGTATAAACCAGAATTAGCTTTATTTCGTAGATATTTTCAAAAATAATAAC